GTCATTGGTTGATTCAAAGCTTCAAACAAATCTGCGGAATTGTATCCAGGCGTATAACAACCTTCATCTCCAAGAGAGGTTTCGCGAATAAGGAGAGAGTCTGTGATGCGGCTACCAAATTTCTCGTTGAAGTGAAGAGTGACCTATTCACATTGGCAGGGTGATTAAACTTCAATAATGAAGTATCTCTAACTGCATCTAGAAATGGAGATTCGCCCGCTGGGGAAGTTATATAATGCCGACCAGAGTGGATTCGCGAGGAAACTGCATCCTATGAGGCCACTGACAGGCGAAAAGAAAGTGGAAAGGGTGGACACCTGGCCCAGAAGCTATTTGTAGTTTTGAAGGTTTGTGCCGACAATAAACAAGCCTACCCATATTTCACTCTTTCTATAAAAATTTTATTTTCGCAGGAAGCGAATGGGAGATTCCAGGAGAAGGGCTACTTCGAAGCCCCGAATTTGGAAGTCAGAGTAAGCACCACACACACTATGAGAAAGGAGCTAATGCTGGAATGGGTGCGGTCTTCTGACTTTCCGCCTGACACCCTTCTCGTTGTAGATTCGTGGACATCGTTCAAAGACCACAAAGCATCCGTTCTGCTAATGCCCCCGGGAGAAATCAAAATAATGAACATAACGGTGCAACATCACAAATACAGCCGCTGGATGTTTATTTCTTCCGACCTTTTAAGACGATGTATAAGCGGTTTACTTCCTATATTATGATTCATGATTTGGATTTCTGCGTATATGCGAGGGATTCCATTCTGCGAATACCATCGCTTATATAATTTCAGTTTTCCGCCTCCAGATTTGAGAGATTCCCCTTTCATTCGTGGCACGCAGCGGGGTACCTTGAGGAATATTCAGGTGAATTTGAAACGCCTATTCAATATGCATTCCCTCCGAATGTCATGGAACCCTGCAACACAGCAGAAGGCAAGGAAATATTTCTTATCCGGTGTTCCCATTGCGAGACACTTTCTTGCTTCCACCATTTTGTTCTGGATTATCACATTTGCTCTTGAACCACAAAAGTTGTTTGTACTCACTATCCTTCCCACTATATATAATCCGCTAAGTATGTCTGTAAGTGTGTGTGTGTGTGTTTGTGTGTTTGTGTGATGCGTCTGTTTGTCTGTCACGAAATTCATAGCGAGCGTCGCAGAAAAGATAGGACGACAGTTCCAAGAAGTGATATACGTGGCAGGACGGGAACACTTTTGGTGGGTGATAGAATGTGATAGCACCTGATAAGATTCGATAAGGGGCCTTAGAAGGGGAGGGTGACCGAGCCCATAGGCGGGACACAGTAACAGTGGGACATTGGTTCCAAGGTATGATATAGGACGTGGGACAGGAACATTATTGATGGTGACAAGGAATGAGGGCACCTGAATAAGATTCGATAAGGGGCCTTAGAATGGGAGGGTGACCGAGCCCATAGTGCGGGACACAGTAACAGTGGGACATTCGTTCCAAGGTATGATAAAGTACGTGAGACAGGGAAATTATTGATGGGTGACAGGGAATGATAGCAGCTGATAGGTTTTGATAAGGGGAGTTGGAATGGAAAGGTCACCATACTTATAAACGCGGAACACAGCATCAGCAAGGCATTAATTTCAGAAAATGATATAGAGTTGGAGATGGGGACACGGCACGGGTGATAACAGCTGATAGGGGCTGATAAGGAACGTTGCCAATGCTGTTCAGTCAAATTGCTGGAGCCTTTACACTACCAAATTATAGAGTTTCAGTGATAGGGACATTGATGAGACGGGCGACAAGATCTTATCAATCGATAAGAAACGATAAGGGGTCATTATCATTACCTCTCTTATCACTATACCCCCAAGTATCAAAGGCTCAGTGAGCATATTTTTCCTTCAGCCATCACTTCCCTGATAGCCTTAGAAAATGAACTCATCCTACTATATAATGTCGATGTCGACGAGCGGGGGGGGGGGTATGTAGTTCGCCTGAAACAGGAATCTCACGAAATCGAGGAGAACCGAAAAACACTTCAACGAGTGGATCGCATGCTAAACGAAATTAAAGCGTTCGTCGGTAGGCATTCCGGTGCAAGTAATGTAAACGAAATCTGCTATTTCACTGAGCATTCATGTTGCGCTGTATTCGCCGACTACATATTGCATCTATCTACAGATTTATGTATAATGGCGTCATGGCGTGGACTACGCCGCCGCTGTGAATAGAAGCGCCTGCTGAGTTGTGCGGGATCGTAAGCCTTGCTCTGTCTGTTACGATTTCACTACAGCGCCTTATGAACAGCCCACTACCGAAAAAATTTTGTTAAAATTATGGACCCGATCTGCATATGAGATCTGCAGATCTGCTAAGTCGCCATGGAATCATAACGCGGCCGCGAGCGCTTGCGAGTCACTACGTATCTAATCCTTCTCGCCAGATCAAACAATTAGACCGGAAAGGGAGGGTCGCACCAAGATCCTTGTTCGGCGGGGGGGGAGGGAGGGGGTCGTATTGACACCGCCATTTCACACATCACGATGCTGTACCCTACTGACGCCATCACGTAAGACTGACCTGAAGGTCGAGGTGCGTGGAAAGCAGCACAAGGGACGTCCCAGAGGCATACGTTTTCGAAGATACTTGGCACCCATCCCGACAGGCACTTAATCAGGAGGACTTTCGACACAAAATCAGATGAGCGGCCCCTGCCACGGAGCGGGACAAACGTTGGAGAAGAACAAGAACAAGAACAAGAACAAGAACAGGAACAGGAACAGGAACAAGAACAAGAACAAGAACAAGAACAAGAACAAGAACAAGAACAAGAACAAGAACAAGAACAAGAACAAGAACAAGAACAAGAACAAGAAGACGAAGAAGAAGAGTTTGAAAATCTGATGAGTAGGTGTTATCATCAGCAACAAAGCGTTGAAAAACTGGAATGAGTTGTCTCCACAGGTGAAAGTGAGAAAGCCGAGCAGAAATATCCGTATAAAAAGTCGGCAACCACTCCTCATTGTGCAAGACCATAGCTCGCGAGCCGGAACTTATAGTACCAGTGCTGCCGCCCGCTCCATTTGTCTTCGTAACCTGATAGGATAAAGGATAGGAGGTGGTGTAGTGACAAGTAGCGCGCTTAACACTCGCGCGGCGCCGGGTTCGAATCCCGGGTCGACACCCACTCAAACTAGAGCCTCCTACCCTTCGGGAACGGCAAATTGGTACCAGATTCGTCTGCGAGGATAAAACACTGACTTGTACATCGGCTGGCCAGCGCAAGTCATTGTATAGGCCAGAACGCATTCAATAAGCCACTACGATTCTGGAAGTAGAATGCGTGCCGCATCCCGCAAAGGGATTGATCAACGGCTAAGACATTATCCTTTATCCTGTAACCTGCTAGGATCTCCAAAAGAATGTAGCCGAGCTTCATCTGAAAAGTACCCGAGGATGTGTGGCGTTAAGGGCTGATCTGGACGCCGATATGGAGTAGTGACTGAAGCGAGCCGCTCAAACGCCTCTACTTATCTCCCAAAGGAGATCAACTTAACACTGAGGACTCCAAGGAGCCTCACATCAACACAACTTTGATACATGGACTTGAATGTACATACTAATCTATTGAATAACAATCCATCGGATACAAATCGGGATATTCCTTGATAGCAAAGACCCGAACCTCCATGATGCATGGGCACAAACTCCAAAAGGCAGTCTTAAGACTTCCTTCTTGAGGTTGAACAATGGCGCGAGTGTGCAGCCGCGTTACGTATTGCACCCAAACTTACGCCTAAACATTACTGTGAACCGTTTGCTCCCTAGTGAATAGTCGCTATTGTCTCCCCATCGTAAAGTACTGTAGCCCGGTCTGGAACCAATTCCTTATTAAGGACATTCGGAAGCTTGAATTAGTGCGAAAGACATTTGATAGAATTAAAATAATAATATAAAATAGACTTTTGTATTACAAGGTCTTCTCCGACACAGGTTATCCTAGAACGTTACCACCCTATGGGTTCGCTTTCAGTTTCATTCTGCGTGCAGCTCGACGGCTATCGCATCTGCCTCCCTCGTTCTTCGAGTGTGGAGATTTAATCCATTTCAAAAGACAACTCATTTTGGCTCTTAAAGCACTTTGGTCTTGACGATGTGTGGTAGACTGCAGGTCCCTCCTATAGTATTGAGTAACTTCCTTGTGACGACATTGTACTTCTTTCTGGTGGGTCAAGAAGCTAGCTAGTTGAGGAACAGGTCGTATTTTTTTTCTTCGGTTACGGCTGCTTTGCTGTGTCTGGATAAAGATCATCAGTTTGTCATCGGCCTGCTTTGCAGTGGCACTTCCCTACACTGGTCTAGGACTTTCGAGTCTGATGTTAGCTACTGCTGCTTGGCCTGTTACCGGTTCCACGAGAGCAGCTGGCATACTCGTGTTTTAAAGTTCCGATAAACTCCCATGACTCAGATGTGGTGTTAAGGGCACGTTGTCCAGTTGGTGTAGGCGGTTGTAACATTCGCGCTTAGGCCTATTCTAGTCCATCTCAGAGCCTCTGTACCACATGGAAACATTTTCTAGTGGCGGTAAGCTCTTGACTGGAGTGCTCACTACTTTACTGGTCTTCAATCATGGTTGCTCTCTTGAACAACGAGACCTTTCCTTAATCGACTGCCTCTACAAGGTTTCTTTTCTATCATCTTCACACTTTCAGTACTGTTCTTACTTTCTCACATTTCATTTACTCTACAGTTCTTGATTTTTTTTGATTTTTTTTTCTTCATTTTATCAGCTTGATTTCATTTTTGTCTTATTTTTCAAGAATCTTGTGTTGTTGCTGAATTGCTTCGGCAACAACACGAGCAACCTGCTATTAACTGGGCGAGTCGCTGTACGCATAAATAATCAAAAAATAATTGAATTCCTGATCACGAGTTCGTTCTAACTACACGTCTTCCATTGTTGATTTAAGATGCTTGGGTTAAAGCGTTTGGTTGTTACTGCTTTGTTGTTCAATTTTTTTGAGCTCCTGGGGTCCCCTCCATGTGATAAATGATTACAATTACATTTAGAACTGAGGAAGCAAACTGCTGCAGCAAAGTGATGCCTAGTACATCTATCCGCGAAACTCTGAATCACTGAGATCTACAGAACTTCTTACTGTAACAACGCACACTCCCAATAGCCTATTCGTGCTGTATATGAAACGTACCTTTGGGATTCCGTTCCATTTCGTAACACGTGGAGTAGGTCTTCTTTCACGTTGAAGGTCGTCCGAACAATCAACGGAAACTCAGCCTGAAGACTATGGCAAGTGATTCTCCCACAATTAACATGCAATATTAGGCCTTCTTACCGGCACGTGAAACTGAGTCATGATCATGCTCATTGCTCGCAAAATGATGTCGTCATTACCAGCATTCGATCTCATTACACAAGAGTATAGTGCCGGAGCAACAGCACACAGTGTTACTACTACCTAGGGAAGAAAATTCAGCGGAATATAAGTAAATTCAGTGCCACTTCTGAATAGTTGTTTCTACGAGGTATGCAGACGCGACTGGCCAAGGCCATACTTTGTCACTTTTCACACACTTCGCGATGGATCTTGAGATGCAAGGCAAGCAACCACTAGGAGCTCCAGAGTAGTGATAGGGGACGTCATCGAGGATGACCTCGTTGAAGAAATTGCTTGAAGAAAGTTTTAAGGCAGAATGTTTATGAGATCGCGAAAGTGACAGCAACTAATAGGAACACAAACCCTGCGACAAAGCGGAACGGTGGTAACGAAAATGAAAGAAAAAAAGGAAGGTTCAGTAAAAAAACCGAACCTGAGTTATACGCACGATAATCCAGTAATGAGAAAATATTTGATCACCACTCGGATTGATGGTCAAAATCAAAGTTGCGACGTTCAGTGAAGGGGCACTGAAGAGGAAGAGCAAGAGAAGGAGTAAGGGCGGAACGATCACCCGCTATATATAATTAGCTTCGTCTGTTTGTGTTTGTTTATTTATTCATTTGTTTGTCTGTCCGGAAATTCGGTTCTATTAGAAGAACATCTTGGAGAGGTGGGGTCAAGATCGGGATGGGTAGGGCATGTGAAAAGATGGAAAGAGCAAACGTAACCCATGGTCGACCCCACCCATTGTGGACGAGCACAAAAATTCATAATTTGGCTCAAGAGCAGCCCCGAGATGGGGGGAAAAGTGAATTGAGGTTGGCAAAAGGTTCACCCATCAAACGGAGATTGGGAAATCAAGTGGAGGACACACACCCGAAGTGGGAGGGGCGTACTAGGAATGGGCGGTGCTTCCGGTGTCATTGAAAAAAAATCATAATTCGGCTCCAGAACAGTCCCGAGGTGGGGGGAAAAGTGGGTTAAGGTTGGCAAAGGTTGGCCCATCAAATGCAGGAGGCCCATTTGAATGGGTGGGGCGTTCTCGAGATGGGCGGTGATCCCCACAAATGTCGGTAACTCGGTCCCCGAGAGGGCCTAGAGATCGCAAAAAAGTCGTGAGGAGAGCTGGGCGGGGACAAACGAAAAAGACTTTGAAACGTTCCCAGAGCAGTCCAGACGTTGGCAAAAAGTGAGCAGAGTGTGCAAGGTCTTGGCCATCGAAGTGATATAGACACGCCATTGTGGGCGAAGTAGGTGTCGAAGTGGGAGGGGCAAAATTCAAAACTCAAAGTCGCTTGCAGAGGAGCGTATGCACCGGGGACATGTAGACTGAAAGTCAAATGGATGAAATGGGGCAGACATTCTCAGAGTGGGCGAGATGTACTAGCGGGGTGTGCTTACCACGAGATTTTATATTTTGGGCCTGAGTGACTTCGGGGATTGCAAAAAGTCGTTGAAAAAGCTACAGCGAAGGTTGAGTGCGTCTGTGGTGCATAGAGACCCTTTCGCAGTGGGTGGTGCGTGCCTTCAAGCACTGCCTACTTTTACTAAGCTTCAGTGCATCGGCAGCCATGCACTTAACCACCGGTAAACGCATTATATACCAGTCGGCTCGTCGGCTGACGCCGGTGCCCCTCCTCTGTGATACGGCCCGGCCTTGCCGGGCGGGCGTGGCTTCGTCTATCCTAGCTGCTTTCGTACGTTTAAATGTACGACTAATACCCGGCTTTCTGTCATCTCTGCACTTCATCAGTGCTCCTTACCATAATGTCATGCACAGTAGTAGTGTTGAAAATAGCATGTATGACGTCAGCGGTCAAGGAGCGTTGGTTACCTGTTCAAATGAAAGCAAAGCCGCATATCAGTTGGGTATACAAACATGGTGAAGAAGGTAAGCGCGGCGAAGCTAGGCCGTATCACAGAAGGAGGCGCACCGGCGAGCCGACTGCTGAACAATAATGGTCGTCCACCTTTATCCAAGTATCGCCTTCATGACATAGCTGGTGTGTGGCAATCCTATCGCCGACGATAAGTGGGTCGTCGCGCCGGTGTGCGGAGCGAGGCGGCGTTGCGGCCGCCGCGTACGAGTTTTGCTGCGTGGCGCTCAGATTGTTGAAGGGTTGACGATCCCTTCAACAATTTGAATGAGTCGTCCTATTTTGATTACCTTTTCTCCTATTTTGGTTCGCCCCAAATTTCCAGTGTTCTTCATCAGGAAGCCTCTTTTGTTGTTACCTCAATCGAACACAAAAGTGAGGGATTTTGCCGATTTTACCTTTACTGCTGGAAGTTGGGCATACTTTTGTGATATAAAATTATCCTGCTCCTTGACTGTCTTTTGTCTGATATCGAAATACTCGCTTTCGCTCATCCCCAAATTTATTCCCAAGTCTACTTTTTTATGACGCGTAATTGTGAACGGAGAGAAAAGTATCGTATTGCAAAAAAAGAAAGTATCGTATTGCAGTATCGTATTTTCGTTATAAATTGGTGTGTTCTTCTTGTGCGAGTTGAGAGCTGTCCGCGTCATAATTCTAAAGAAGCTATAAAAATGTTTAATGTGTGTGAAGGATCGCCTGCCCGAGGTCCTTTATCCATTTCATAAAATCAACCGTGTGCTGAGTCTACGCCATGTAAGTACATCAGCTTTTTTAAAATGAAACTCTTGGGTTATTAGCAACCTGCATAGTCTTTGAGGTTTCGTCCTCTTGTCTTCAAGAATGTAAAGACTCATCGGGCACGTCCTGTCGCCAAGGAGAATTTTTGTGAATGTCACCTTCCAGTTTCCTGTTCTGAGGTCCAACTCCCTCCCCTCCTTCAATGCTATCTACCTTGCTGACTTTTCTAGAACTCCCTAACATTTTTTTCAAAACAAATTCTGTTTCACTCAAAATTTTGCTCTCAAACGCGGTGTTCTGAAATAAGCCACTATGTAAAGGACCGGAATTTTTCGAAAAACTGCACTGTTTGGCTTTAGTGCGGGACTGAGACTGTACTCCCGACATATTATAAGGCATTTCAAACTGGACTAATTGAAGTGCGCACTCTTGGGGACTCGAGAAATTGATGCTTACTTATAAAGATGAATATTTTTAACACATTGCGCACCGCCACACTGCACACTTCTCCGAATCGGTTCATAATTTTTCGTCACTAATTCGCTAATTTCCTACCTCTTTTCAATCGCTTATGAGGTAGTTATTTTCCGTAACTAAGAACGTGCTTGAGCCACACTACAACATGAAAGGAAATTGATCATAGGCGTCAGGCGGTACGGAACGTGATAACTTTGATAAATGTTTTTGCGTTTAGATTTTCCTGCTGCATATGCTGTTTTTCTACGGGAGCAGCCAAGGAAGTGTTATGTGAGCATTTCATCAGAGGTTTGTGATTCTTCACGATATGCAGGAGGAAATACTGAGTGCTTCCGAAACTGCAGACAATTCTTTCACTTGATAATGTTGATTGCAGTTGTACTTCATGAGTATGGTCAATTGAATTGTGGGGACCCTATGCATTTTCTAGCTTTTTTTTTCTCCGGGCACCAGAATTTGAGAACAAAGGAATTCGCAAAAACGGTTCCTTCGGTAAACAAAACAAGCACTGTCCACGACTGTGGAAGTGGCGTTATTTGTCTTGCTGAGGAAAGATCCTCCGAATTCAATTTAGAAAAGATTCACGTCCCTAGTACGATTCTGAAGAAGTTCTCGCAGTTGTCGTCGTCAAAATCTTCATTCATCAACGAAATGATGAACTTTGAAGATAGCAGTATCAATTGTAAGTTATCTTCCTCTTTAACTTCGCTAACCTTTCTTTGGGAATTATTTCGGTTGTATACTCCTTTTGATTGTTTTCAGAAATTGGTGTTGATCGCATTGCTTTTGATGTGCTCTTCATATTTCTTGGTATTTTGATATTTCTTGATGCAGCGCTGCTAATTACAGGGAATGTGAGTTGTTCACTTTCTTTTGTTACACCCTTTTTTGCTAGCGCTTCATTGCTTATATGGTTGCAGTTTTCGTCGCTGTGTGGTGTTCATGTTTGGGTTTTTCTCGTGAAGCGTTGAACATTCTTATAATACTCTGCCGCTGGGTCGTGCAAATCTTCTGGTTGCTATTTGTGATTGTCATAGTTTAGAAAGGATTGAGTATCTATTGTTTCCTGTTATCGATATCACTTGCATTTTGGTTCACAGTAAGTAACAAATTTGTAACTAGGAAGAGATAAGAGGAAGGAAGAAGATGAGGATTCTGGCGATGTAAGTGTATTTTGGCAATTTTTCTTTTGAACGCAGATGATCCAGTATGCTGGGTTGTGAAGTCTTGTAAACTTCGAGGTAGGTAAAGCATAGAAGTATAGGTAAAGCATAGAAGTAAGGCATTGTTCACAGTCTGCGGTACAGCGTTTCTCTGGAAAGAAGCGGTTTGGCGATGTTCGCGTTTCTCAAATGCGCAAATCGCCAAACCTCTCTACCGCAGCGGCGTTTTTTTTTTCGCCAGCAAAATTGATGCGCATCTATTGCTTTTCGCCCAAACGCTGAACCGCGGCGGTTCGGCGAAAGGAGCGGTTGGCGATTCATCCATGACTATCTTTGCTTTTCGCCCAACCGCCAGGTCGCATGCTGTGAACAATGCCTAAAGCGCGTAGTATGCAATGTAGGTAAGGCGCGGATGTGAGAACCTTTTCCCTAAGGAGTTGGGTTGACCCGCTCGAGCTGCTTCGGCTGAAAATGACCAATCTCTCCTTTAACTTTTTCAGTACTGAATGCCAGTCATATTTTCAAAATTTTAAGTCCTGGCGAGACAGTGAAACTAGTCGCATGTTGCGGCCTTCTAGACTGTATATAAGTGGGCTGGAAAATGTTTACCGTGCGAGTTTCTCGAGAGTTAGGTCACCATAAACCCTGAGGAACTTATTGTGCATGATACTATAGTGTCTTGCATCAACAGTTTAGAGTTAATCTGTCCCCTCTTTCAGTCATTGACCGGAGCGCGATCGGGCCACGAGTGTTCATCAAGAACTTCTTTGAT